AAGTCAGGGTGTGTGGGGGTGGGGGGGGGGGGGGGGGGGGGGGGGGGGGGGCATTTAGCATCGTACTGACACAACAAGAAACATGTCTGTAGAGACATAATCAGTTCCATACTTAAGCATCCAGAAACACATGAAGACATACAATCAGTATTGATACAAACAGAAATGAGCACAGAGACACATCAGTACTAGTGATGGGCCAAACAGGTCCGAGTTCGGTTCGAATTCGAACTTTGAAACACCCAAAAAGTTCTAATTCGAACTTGAAATCAATGCAAGTCAATGGAGTAGAACCTTGAAAACAATTGTCCCCTTTAAGAGGGCTTATTTGCAAGTTATTGGCCATAAAAGGTGTATGGGGATCCGGGTACTGTCCTAGGGGACAAGAATCAATGAAAAAAAAACGTTTAAAAAAAATACAGTTTTTAAAGGAGCAGTGGTTTTAACATCACTTAAAGGGTAACAATAAAAATGAAAAATCCCTTTAAATATCGTGCCTGGGGGACCCTTTAAACTGCCTGTAAAGTGGCAAATCTGTACAATGTATAGAACCTGCTGCAGCAAAACTGCCATTTCTAAAGAAAAAAAAGAAATTTGTTTTTTTATTCTTAAAGCGTGCAGTTCCCCCTCCCAAACAATACCAGACCTTTTAGATTTGGTAGGAATGTTAGGAGGGACCAATTTATTTTTTTAAAGATCTGGTAGGAATTTTAAGGAGGAACCCCACCCCAAAAAAAGCTTGGGGTCCCCCCTAAAGTTTCCAACCAGACCCTTGATCCGTGCATAGGCCTGGCAGGGCCGGTAAGGGTGGGGATGAGCGAGCACCCCCTCCCTCCCAAACCAGGCCACATGCCCTCAGCACTGGGAGGGTGCTTTTTCCAGTGTCGCCCCTGGAAAAGCACTTTGTCCCCATGCCGATGGGGACAAGGGCCTCTTCCCCACAAGCCCTAGGCCGTTGGTTGTGGGGGTCGGCAGGCAGGGGGGCTTATTTGTATCAGGATACCCCTTTAATAAAGGGTACCCTGATTTGACCCCCCTCTTGTGAATGAGTAAGGGGTACTTGTACCCCTACCCAGTCACTAAAGTGTTAAATCAAATTGTAAATAAAAAGACTTTTGAAAAAATCCTTTATTTGGAAAAAAAACAAAAGACATGTTTTTGACAAGTCCTTTTATTAAAAATCTCGACATCCAGCGTTGTCCACGACGACAACGATTTGACGAAATAAAAAATAAAACAATTAAAAAATAGATAGAAATAATAATAATGTAAAAAACGACCTGCCGCATAATGGCAGATATATTACATACACATATTTTGACAGATGCCAGTAACATATAAACATTTGGGCAGAGCTAGCAGTGGCAGCTAGCTCCTCCCAACTGTTAACAGTTGCAACAGGGTGAGCCATGATTGGGCAGAGTCATCATTACTTTGCCCAATCATGGCTCTCACTGTTCTCTGTGCCCTGATTGGGCAAAGTCTTGCAAGCCTTTAGCCGATTAGGGCTTCACAAGGCGCATTGCCTTGTGTGGCGTCCAGTGGCCGAACAGACCGCCGAACGCCTTTATAGTTCGTGTGTTCGGCAAACACACGAACTAGCGACATCTAGCGACATCGAGCCTAACCCTAATCAGGACCATAGTGACACAACTAAAAATGAGTTCACGGCACAATCAGAACTGTACTAATGGAACTAGAAAGGACTGTAGAAACATAATCAGTTCTGTACATGTACATCAGCATATAAAAATTCTATAAGATTTTAATAACTAAGGGTAGTTCTACTTAATTCTAAAATAATACTTTACATCCAAACTCTCTCCTCCAACATTTTACACTTACCTTAGCCTGCAGTATACCTTAGAACTTGCCTTATGGAATCAGGAAGGAAATGTGGAGCAAATTGAACCACGCTTTACGGGGGGGGGTTGCCTTCCTCTGGATCAACAGTGGGCACTTGTGGGCATAGCATTCTGTTTAGGCTTTTCTTCTTTTTTTCATATCTCTATAAGTTGCACTCGATGGACTTGTGTCTTTTTTCAACCTGACTAACTATGTAACTTAACATAGCCTTAAAACTTACCTATAACCCCAAATGCTGAAACTAAATCCTGATACTTTTCCCTAAAACCTAACACTAAACCAATCCCTGCCCGTAACAATAATTTAACCAAACGTAAGCCCTAACATTCAACTAGCCCTTGTTCTGTATACTCGATTTGTCCTGCAACAGAAACAGTCATATTGAATCCTCATAATCTTGGTGAGAGTCCATTGGTGGCCATTCAGGACCAGTTTTCACATCTTCAAAAAAAAAATTAAATTTATTTCCTTCTACATAAATGCACTGTGGTGCATTTAAAGTTGTAGATTTTATTTCATGTCTACTGTTGTCTGCACTGGTAACATCTTCATAATTTAACTCCTCAGCCCAGCATGTCAAAACTGGAACATGTGAAGTTGTGGCTCTTCACAGATGCTGCAATAAGAACAAAATAGAAGAACGTTCACAAACAGTGAAGTGCTCCTGTTTTCCAGGACAAGTAGCAGGAACAACAAGAGCTACTCCCTCCTGTGTTGATGGTATGTCAGACAAGTGTATAAAATTGTTTTATTAATACTAAATTTCCAAATACTGGGATACCCAAAAATGAATATTTTACTATATCTGTGAGTGCTCAGGTATGAAAACCTGCTAGGCAATTACAAAAGTGTCAAATACTGCATGTTACAACTGTGGCATAGGATATCTGGGAGGAGGGACACACCAAGATAAGTTATCCAAACTGTGATGGTATGATATTCTTATTGGGGTGCCCAAGTAATATAAAAATTCACATGTTGGCTTACCTCACTCTACCTATAATTTGATATCTCTTTTAGGGGGATTGGCCCTTTGAAGTTCATTTAATTGTAAAACATATAACAACCATACAGAAAAGCAAAGTGAGAATTGTCTTTAGAGACACACAACTAATATTGACCGAGATGGTTTATTTAACAAGAGATGTAAGAGTGACAACTGATGATGATTACTATGATTATTTCTGCATGCTGTTTTCTGTAAAGCTGAGTGTACTGAATCACAAATCAAGTGCATCACTATTTCAAATTTGCAATCCATTCTTTAGGGTAAAACCTGTTTGCCCTAAAATATGTTTGTCTCACTAAACTGGTCTTTAAAAATAATCAATTTACCCTGTGTATCCAACATCGTACTGCTCATGGATCTAGAACTGGGGCCGTTTTAAAAGTCCTACAGGGGCATGGTTTGGGGAACAAGACATAGATGCCTGATCCCTGAGCTCCAGTGCCCTTGGGGTTAAAGCACAAGCTGTTCTCTGCTTCGATCCACTATGGGAAAGTGCAACCAAGCCACTCCGGCTCCCAAAGCACACAGGAACCCCACCAGCCAGCTGGGAAAGGGCCTACCTCACCTGACCACAAAGTCTATTCACAGATGTTTCTGTCCCTCACTAAGGCAGCCTCTCAGAATCCCACCAACTCCTAACTCTGGAGGACATTACTCTATTTGCCTCTGACATAAAATCTACCTTACCAGCAGCTATCACATACCTGCAAAGGGACCTTCTGGTAATGTACACACTCCTAGATGGCATGATTACACCATGAGAAAGGAGGAACTAGACTATAACAACATTGCAGCAGGCAAGTACCAATCATACATTCCAAATAATTGATTTTACTAAGCACCTTGAGGACTTGAATAACAATGGCTGATACCACAACAATAGAGTGGGAGGTGTTCCAGAAGTGTTTTTGCCAGACCAACGTTAGCCAACAGTGCAAGCAATTTTTAACAATTTCCTGAAGATAATAACACAATCTCTCATAGAGTTTGATTGAATTCACAGGGTCCTAAGACCACAGGGTTCTCCTGAAGACCCTTCCAGAGACGTTATCTGTTGTTTAAGCAGCTACTCAGTAAAAATAATAAATCCTCAACAGGGCTACAAATAATGAGAATGTAGCAGAGGTAAAATAGTTCCAAGACTTATCTCCTATCAACTTCAAAGCACTAAACCTTTAGGACTAGGTCACTTTAAGTGCTTAGACTCTTCCAGTGACCGTGGGAACTGAATGGAGTGCCAAGGTTACATAGCATTGGTGAGATTCTTCCTCTCTGTATTGTTTAAACAAACTTTTGAAATGTTCTTACAGTTAAGTGTACATCTCTCTTAAGCAATGGGAGCTAACTAGTACAGACAGATCTGATTAGTGTTCAGAACATGCGCTACTAATTCTTACAGCATCTACAGCATGAGCCTGGGAACTCCTGATGGAATGCAGAGGTACACCAGGATTAAGAGACATAATACCTCTTGTTACCATAGCCTATTTTATTAGGATGTCAGAGCACATAGCATCAATGGCCACATCAACTCCTCTGCATACACTTTAAGACCAGCTCTTTGGCTGATGCTACATATTAATTGTGCCCGCAAAATCGTTTGAAGTATAAACGTTCTACTTTGCTGACATGGTTAAGGCCAGAGACCTACCTTAACCTTGCAAGTGCAAGTACCATCTTTGACCTTGTTCTGATGCTGCCCCAAGACCCCTGCCTACACACAGACACCCCTTAACAGACTGGACCTGCTGCAAGCAACTTTGCACTGGTGTGCAACTTCTCAGGATATGAGTTATGTGTGCATAACAAATCTCCTTTTTATTAACTCAGGCACTCGGGGTCTTTGGACCAGTTAGATTAATTATCTGTCTCTTAGAGCTCCGACATCTGTAGTTTACAAATGATTCTACTTTTTGGACTAATACTTATTACTTCCAGCAAGATGTGCACAGGACGTCTGCCAAAGAGATGCCAAAGATAAAGTACAATGCTTCTCACATGTTTGTTCAGTCCTATATTGTAGTTGATGTGCTTGAGACCTATACATGTGGGTGACTCCAGTGTTGAACCTAACTGGATGCATGATTATGTAACGGCCACCGCCGTAGATCGTAGTCGTCGGGAGCCAGCAGCCAGCCGCTTCTCGGATCCACCGCTGCGTTCCATGGTGGAGCGCACGCTCGTCACGTCCGGGTTCGGAGGCCGGGTGCGTGCCACCTTGGAGCGCGGAAGTGCGCCGATCCATTCGGCGACTCCTCCCCACTCCTCCAGCACTATATAAGCGCCCAGATGAGACAGCATGGCGTTCCACTATTGAGCCAGAACGCCTGCTGTCTCCTGGGACCCTCCATTGCCTCCAGCCTACGCCTGTCATTCACCCACTCTGGGACCGGACTCCAAAAGGACCCCCAGCTCTTCCCATCCACTTCAAACCCTCAAACAGCAAGTATTCAGTGCAGTTGCACACCCTTCATAGAGACTATATGCTATATCACCTACACCTGTAAAGTCTTGCTACTCGCTGGGAAACTGAACCATTGCCTGTACTAACTTGTGCCCTCTCTCACCTGCTACTCAGTAGTTCCCAAATTGACACTGGTGCTCACGGGTAGGGCTTATGCAGGAATAAACCCGCTCTAAAACCAGATATTATTTAATTTGAGGCTGTGATGCAAGAAACCCTAACTCTCTGTTAAGTTGAGAGTAAAACCAGGGTTTCACTGCCTGAGAAGCCTCTGCAGTTGCGATCCACAACCCCCTCACCCATAACAGGCATGACAGAGAAGGATGAGATCGCCCGATGGAACTACCCACCTCCCTAGATGACCTAATTCTGCAATCCGTTTCCATTGACCGCCGTCTCCGCGAAAGAAGGTCGGAACATGCTTACTCCTACAATCCACCTCCTCCTAGGAGATCCAGATCGCCCCATAAAGACGAGCCCATGGAAATAGGGGCCATTCGGGGGGCGCTTTCCCAGGCCGAAAAGGAGAGGAGAAGAGCCCGCAACCTATGTCTGTACTGCTCATCTCCAGACCACATGGTCTCTACCTGTCCACTCCTCAAAAAGAAGACGGAAGGTAACGTTTCACATATTTGCAAGGTGAACCATGGTGAACCCCTCTCTAACCGGTATATTCTTATCCCTCTCTCCCTACAGTGGGACCATGAGAGGATCACCGTTGACGCCATGGTGGACACGGGGGCTTGCGGCAATTTAATTAATTCACAAATTGTCGAAACCAATAAAATACCACTCATGCTAAAGCATAACCCTGTGTCCGTCACCTTTATTGATGGGTCTACATCCTCCTCAGGCAAAACAAATGACAAACGCACTCAACAATTCATCAATGGTGAACCCCTCTCTAACCGGTATATTCTTATCCCTCTCTCCCTACAGTGGGACCATGAGAGGATCACCGTTGACGCCATGGTGGACACGGGGGCTTGCGGCAATTTAATTAATTCACAAATTGTCGAAACCAATAAAATACCACTCATGCTAAAGCATAACCCTGTGTCCGTCACCTTTATTGATGGGTCTACATCCTCCTCAGGCAAAACAAATGACAAACGCACTCAACAATTCATCACCAGCTATACAGTAAGGTGCACACGAAATGGGCTTTGAACAGTAAAACAGTAGAAAGGTATCATGGCACACTCACAAACCAGCATGTAAAAAAACTTGTCTCACCACTAAGGTTAATAACAGAGGTTTGGATACACGTCTTCTGCAGAAAATGTGAAAGCCGCACAGCCGCGCCAAGGCACCTCTTATAGTGCGGTCCTAACTCTAAACTATGAGAGTCTCCATCTTGGAGCACATGGGGCAGAAGATTTCAAATTGGGTGCAGGTTTGTCAGGAGGAAGCCCAACCTCCTTAAAGGCACAGGGACACACAAGGGATCCCGCAAATCCAACATCTACTAGTCCTTCACCCAACCAAGTGGTCCTCTCAATGTACCCATATTCTTCTACCTTTTCCACACGTTGTTGCAGCTTATTAGCCATTCACTTACTCTGCAAAACCTCCCCAAAGGGTGGACATGCTCATGTATGGCCAACACCATTCCCCACTAAGGCAGACTGGTCTTTAGTTCTGAGTTCTTCCTAGCCGTAGAGTATCACGTTGGGGTACCGGAGAAGATCCCTGATTTTTTAAGTTCACTCTTGGCAAATACCATATTTCCATCAGTTTGTTCTTGCTTCTTCCACTTTTCTATGACTTATGCTCTTTGCTTCTCTCTCCCCTCCACCACTTTTTCTGCCTAGGACTCCTTCCTTTATCCTTCTCTTTTTCTTTTTTCTTTTCTATAGCCGCCCCTCCCCACCTATCTTTTCTTTCCCCTACCCTTTATCCTTGATGTCCCTGAATCTGAGAATCCCTTCCCTTTACTATGCTTCCATAGGAAGCAATAAAACTTTGAAATGTATTTTCTATCAACACCAAATGTATTTTTTATCAAAGGACTAAACACCCCAGAAAAAAACCAGAGAGTAGATTTCTGTTTTTAAAGGGGAAGATCACCACCTAGCAAATCACATTAGCTAATGTCTATTGTCCCAATGTAAATCAAATTTTCTTTTTGGTTAACATTTCTGATGAACTCAGTGCCTTTGCATACAGCCTGATTGTGTTGGAAGGAGACTTCAACTTATTGCTGGATCCTGAATGCACATTAAGAGGAGAAATGATTGCCTATTC